ATGCTGAGCAAATAATTCAAGAAGCCAGACTCTGTGAAGAAAAATGTGGCATCAGGATAGGAGGAAGACTAGTCAACAACCCACTTTATTTGACTGTAAATGCTTATTGCAGAAGATCAAAGACTGTAGTTATGAATATGGATTGCATCTCAACAGCAAGGAAACAAAGGCCCTCATGACTGGGACAACAGGCAACATAATTATAGAGAAAGAATTAAAACTGTAAGTTATTTCATCTTTCTTGGCTCTGCAATCAAAACCCTTGATACCTAGCAGTCAAAAGATAAGGAGATATATCGCTTTGGGCTGTCAGGAACTTTTCCAGAATACTGAAGAGCGATAATGGCAGTTTGAAGACCAAGGTGCACTGGAGTCAGGCCATGATCTTTTTCATTATTTATTGTGTAGCTGAGAGCTGGACAGTGAATAAAAGTCACAGAGTAAGAAGAATTGATGCGTTTGAGTTAAGGTGTTGGAGAACAATACTGAATATCCCATGAGCTACAAAAGAACAAATAAGAATGTCTTAGAAAAAGTGCAGCCCCAGTGTTCTTTGGAGGCAAGGATGACAAAGCTGCATCTCTCATACTCTTTTGCAAGGAGAGGCTATTCCTTGGAAAGAGATACCATGCTTGGAAGGGTAGAGGTTCAGCAAAAGATAGAAAGACTGCCAGTGATATGAATTGACATGGTGACTACAGCAATGGGCTCAAGTGTATGATGAGGTGATGAGGATAGTACAGAATAGGACAGAATTCAGACCTGTCACTATGAGTCATTGTTGTTGTTGTTGTTGTTGTTGTTGTTGTTAAGTGTCGTCGAGTCGCAGGCGACTCATTGCGACCCTATGAAGGAGAGTCCTCCATGCTTGGGTGCCTTTCATCCTCTCTCCAGGTTCATAGGTTATGAGTCGTACTCAACTTAACAGTGCCTAAAAACAGCTTAAAAGAATTAAAAGAAAGTTATTTGTTTCATTTGTACACTGATTTAATATATATGAGTTCAAGAAGGCAGGGACAAGGGATGTAATTATGAGCTATAAGTGAAGCGAATAAAGTAACTATAACTCATACTGTCATTAGGTTTAAATTTCAGTAAACATACTTTCATTTACAGGAACCTATACTGTCTTCTTAAGATGAGACTAAAAAATTCATATGTCCCTACTTTTTCTTTGGTGATTCCATGGACCATTTTATCTGAAGAAGCAAGAGACAAGAATTTCCAAAAATGGAAGCTAACCTTCTTGGAAGCCTAGAGCACTTCATGGTAGCAAAGAAATGGGAAGATACTGTCAGGGCCAGTAAAATGGCAAATTAAAATCCTATCAGTCGAACTGGAAAAAATATTTGTAACAAAAATAGTCAGTTGGCAAAGGCTGACTTGAAATATATTCTAAACAAGTGTTTACTTGGCACTTTGGCTTCACTGGAGGCACTCACTTTTCTGTGGGAGTTTTCTCCTTCCATGTTGGAGGCCAAGGTCAAGTTCCTGGTTAGTGCGCTTAGCATCCAAATACAACCTGTCCTTGAGTGGAAATTTGCTTCTTTTTACAGCACTTTCCATGGAGCTTCTGAACTAATATAGACTAGGGGGGAAAACAAACAAACAAAAAAAAAAAACAGCCTGGTGGTCAATTCCTGAAAATTGTCTATTCTTTTTAGACCACAGTGGTCAGATCCACAATTAATCATGAGGATAGCACAGGAAAGGGCAGCATTTAAATTGATCTACCCCTTTATGCCAGCTCTGGTGGCTTACAAGTGAGAATCTTCACTGCAGTCCTGAAGGCATGTGGTTCAAATCCACCAGCTGTTCTGCAGAAGGATGGCCAACCTCCTCCCTTATGATTACTGCCTCTGAAAACCCACTGGAGGGTCAGCAATGGGTCAGTTTCGACTCGACAGTACACAACAACAATCCGTTATATCTGAGTCACGTTACAACAGAGACCAATGTGGCCTCCACTAACAAAAATGTGACTTCTTTCAAGTGAGTTTTTCACATAAACATTCATTCTAGACAGTTTCTATGAGTCAACAGATTGTATGTCTCTTCTCAGATCATCATTTGATTATAACATCAAATGGATTTCTGAACTGTCATCTTTAGGTGTATTCAGATTTCATCTGCAAAACTCTTAATATCGTAGTTTATCATTTGGGTAGAAGATACATGACCAAACATCATTCAATTATTTTGTTCCAGTAGATACTTAGGGGTTCATTTTCTTGAACTTCATTAGCACTATCTTCTTTAAATACAAGTTAATTTTACTTTTATTTGTAAATGTAAAAAAAACAACAGCAACAACAAAAAAAAACCTCCTCTGTGCTTCTGATCCATAGTTCCTTTAATTTACCTCCTCCAGCCAAACCAATTACATCAGTTTCTTACAGAAACTTTTAAAAAACTTTAAAAAGATGTTGTTGCTGTTGTTTTTCACTATGTGCCATAGTATTGTTTTTCACTCTGTGAAACTCATAGTGACCCTGTGAACAACAGCTCTGAACCCTGCTCTGTCCTGAGCCAACTTCATCATCTCTGACACACTTAACCCCCATTCCCCAGTCACTGAATCAATCCATCTCATCCAAAGTCTTCCTGTCTTGTGCTGTCTCTCCACCCTCCCAAGCATGATGTCCCTCTCCAAGGACTGGTCCCTCCTTGCAACATGTCCAAAGTATATCAGACAGAGTTTCAGAATCCTTGCCTCCAAGTAGCAGCCTGGTTTCACCCTCTCTAGGACTAACCTGTTTGTGTGCCCTCATACTTAATTGTCGTTATTTTTGTGTCTCATCAAGTTAGAACTGATTCATATCTGACCCTCCAGTGGGTTTTCAGAGGCAGTAAATTACATGGGAGGAGATTGCCCATCCTTCGACCTCAGAGCATCTGGTGAAGTCCACTCACATTCTTTTGGTAATGCCATGCAGCTTCCTACCACAAGGTCATTAAAGTTCCCTAAAACATGTGCAGCATATTTTAAAACATAATGTCGTCCCCCTTTATTTAATACACATGCTAGGTCTAGGAAATCTCTTTCCCAAATATACAGTTAAAAGGACAGAATCTCTCTGAGCAAATGCACAGCTCCGTATCTCAGACTTTTTTACATGTCAGGAATTCATCTTGGTAGCAGTAATTCCAAAAGGGTACCATCATATGACAACATCATGGCCAGGTAGAACCACAATTCCCCGATGACTGTAGCATTTAGGGAGGATTACCATCTGTCTTAACTGTTTGCTCTTAAATAGGTAACTGTTAAAATAACCAAGTGTTGTTCCTAAAGCAGTTGTTAAAATGCATTAGCACATTTTTTAACAGCATTTTTAACAGAATTCCAAGTAATTCTGATACAGATAGTCTAGAGACTACATTTTACGGAGCTGTGTTGTTTGTATACTCTCTCTCTCACTCAGGTCTGGTCCTGGCATGATTGCAGAGAAAGGTAGCATTCTATACTCCTCCTGAATGTCGGAGACTTGTTTATGAATTTGAAGATTTAAAAGTACTCCATGAGAATCTAATACCCAGCCTAGGGTTCAGAAAGCTACCACTTAATCAAACAACAATAGCAGGAATGGGGGTGGAAAGTGTTCTGTGTTTCTGTTTAACAGGAGTTACACTATTAACTAGCTGTCTGACTCATATAATGACTTTAGACGGTAAAATGGTTGTTGTGAGGATTAAATAAAGAAATGTACGTTAAAACCTCAGCATGTGGAATGCTGCCTGTTATTGTATTATATGCCCAGCACTATGTCAAAGAATCTTCTAATCTAGTTAAGAAAACAATACAAATATTAAATAGGAGTGAGTGCCTACTCTTCCCTTCTCTGCATTTAAAAAGATTTAAAGTATGTTTACACATACACACAGAATAACATAGTATTCTCAGTAATAAAATATAGTCAAATAAAGAGAATTATGATATAAAAATATAGGGGAAATACAGGACTTTTTGCATTAAAATGTCTAATACTTGAATCTCATTAACTCCATCTCACGTACTTTGAGTTTGTTGTCAGGACTTGGAAAAGGACAGCACGTTTGGAAGGCTAGAAATTCCACACAAAACAGAAAGACCCTCAGAGAGATGGCTTAACACATGTATTGTAGCAAAGGGACCAGATGTGTCTGAGATGATGTGGTTGACTCAGAGCAGGGCAGGGTTCAGAACCAGGTCAGAAGGGTCTCCAGGAGTCATAGTGGACTTGGTGGCATATCCTAACAACAACATTTACTTTTTAGATTATATGGAATTCCTTGAAATCATAAGGAAATAATGAAAAACAAACAAACTTGTGTTTATTATTTAAAAACTGAAGAGCATTGTGTATCTGAGAATGAGGCCTATGGGAAATGTTTCAAGAGACCTATGAAACCTCTGAAATTTTATGCAAGTTTATTTATAGGACTAGAGGTATTTTTCAGGGGAGAGATCTATAGTTTTAATTTCCTTTTCAAAGAGGTTTTGGCCCAAAACCTGTTTAAAACCACTGACAATTCATATTTTGCATATTTTATGTGCATTCTGATTTAGGCTAAATATATTTAACTCCTGATTGGATTTAAAATAATTTACTTGTTTGCTTTCTCTTAACTGCCCTCTTGATCATCTTATTCAAGTAGCAGCACAATACAATTTTGTTTTAGGAAATTCTAAAGTTGTATTTCTTGGCTACTTCAACCTATTCAAATTCTACAGGTCTTAGCATGGAAGTTTGATGTACATATTTTAAAAGTTCCAGTGACAGAGAGTAACTAATGACCATTCCGGAGGTTCCCCTTTTCATGTTTTATCCATTGCTCAATTGCTTGAATTATTTCCTTTTGTTTCTATGTTTCTCTTCATCTCAGGAAGAAAATGATCCAGTTCTATTTTGCCAACTTGCATTTTGCCAACATTGCAAGTCTTTCACTTTGTGTTTTATTTATAATGTGGTAACAACACTATTGATGTTACATATTTTTATTTCCCTCTTTTCCTTTAGGTGTGTGTGCAACATTGACTGCTCTCAAACCAACTTCAATCCCCTCTGTGCTTCTGATGGGAAATCTTATGATAATGCATGTCAAATCAAAGAAGCATCATGTCAAAAACAGGAGAAAATTGAAGTCATGTCTTTGGGTCGATGTCAAGGTAATGTTCATACCAAAATTCATTTCAAAGAATGTTTTTAGTCTTTGTAAAGAATTGAAAATTGAAGATAACTCCTTATTAGGCAGCTATTTCATTTCTGAAAGTTCTGATTTATAAAGGATAGGAGAGTCTACTGTAGCATTTTTATTGAATGCAGTAGTTTTAGAGTATATCAGTATCAGTCTATATTTTTTTTCCTCCTTGTATATTGTAATTGTCCTTACTATGCCATGAACACAGAGGACTATATTACAAAGGCAGAAGACATTTCCTGTGTAGAGACAAAGTCAAAGTAATTTTTAAGCAATAAATCTTAAGTATTTATTTGTCAGTGTTGAAATTAAAAGCAAATCCCTGTGGTTTTATATATATATTCAGTAAAAACTTTTCTAGTGTATTTTTTAAAGCAGGATGCACTAGAATACTGTTTTTTAGCTTGTTCAGAATGAAAACTTTTGGTTTTTTACTTATTATTTTAAACCACTTAGCTCAGCTATTGTGATGAATATTTTCCTTAATCTGTATTTTAGAAAGCAATCACCATACCCTTATTTGCCTTCAGACAGAAATTGACAAATAAAAATCTGACCTTGTATAAAGATTAATTTGAATCATTGGTATAAAAATTCCTTAAATGAAGTAAAGATATTGTTGGAGATACAATTGACATTTGCCATTTGGGTTAATGAGCCCTTATTGTTACTGTCTTTTTTAACACAGATAACACAACGACAACTACTAAATCTGAAGATGGGCATTATGCAAGAACAGATTATGCAGGTACACAATATTTTCTACTGTAAAGTATGAATACTTCTAGAAAAGAATCCTGGAGAATCTTTATTTAAAAGTTTATTCTAAATTAAAACTGACAAGACTTCTGACATGTGTTAATATTCTCTTGTTAGTTCAAGTCTTCAATAGACAAGAGAGAAATATTGTTGAAGCAAATAAGACACTCTTATTTTTGCCAGAATTAAAGCAATTGTCAAAAATGTCACTAAGATATAATTAACTTGTTTTGACAGTGCAAATGGTACAAATGACAAAACATTTATCAAATTAATGGGCATCAATGGAAATTAATGCAGTTTTTGGCAGTATATTGTAATAAATGCAAATGTTCTTTGAATTTTTATAACAGTCAACAATAAAAAAAGTTTGTTAGTCTCTGGAAAGCTAGATAAGACAGCTATAAATAATAATGAGATTGCTATTCAGATGTAAAATATAAAAGGTAAGTATAATCTGTATTAAAAAGAATCAGTTATTTTCATGTTTTAAGAACTAAAACATTATGCCTGAGGAATGTACATTCATAAAGCATTTAATATAAAATAGATTGTTGTTGTTGTTGTTATGTGCCATCGAGTCATTTCCGACTCATAGCGACCCTATGCACAACAGCTCTAAACCCTGCTCTGTCCTGCGCCAACCGCACCGCCTCTGACACACCCATCCCGATTACCCCAGTTACCGAATCAATCCATCTCATAGAGGGTCTTCCCCTCCTGCGCTGTCCCTCCACCCTCCCAAGCATGATGTCCCTCTCCAAGGACCCGCCCTCCTGGCAACATGTCCAAAGTATGTCAGACGAAGCCCCAGAATCCTTGCCTCCAAGGATAAAATAGATAGTCAAAATTAAATAATAAGCCAAAATGAAATTTTATTTTCAGGAATCTATCTATGTGATGTAACTTTTCCACTTTAAAAAATAATTTGTGGCTATAAAAATGAGATTTAAAAAATAGATTTCATAAAAACTTGAGAGGGAGAATACATTATTGGATTTACAAAATAATAACATGATATAACCTATTTTTGTGCTTTGGAACAGTTTCTTATTTAGCTTTTTTGTGTTTTGGAACTATATTCATTATCATATCCAGTCAAACAGAATTATTTCTTAATTATATCTTTTAAAATGTGTTCTCTTACTCACTTTTTGTTGCTTGAAGTTTAATTTTCCTTAACCATATTTCTCTGACTATATTTAGACACACACAATATAAACCAGAATGAAGTTGATCAGATGCCCTATTTATAGATCAGATATTTTTTAACATGCACATTAAACTTTTCATTTGCCAGAAGCCTATAATTGTAATGACCGTTAACAGTGATCCATAGAAAGATAGAGTTCTAATGTGTTGTTGTTGTTGTTGTTGTTGTTGTTAGAGGCCCTTAAATCACTTCTGGCTGATAATGACTTTGTGTACAACAGAATGAAACACTGCCAGTCGTAAACATCTCGACAGTGATTACTATGTCCATTGTTGAAGCCATTGTGTCTGTCTGTCTTATTGAACCCAAGCTTTACAAAACATGAAGTCCTCCTCCTCCTCCTCCCAGGACTAATCTCCCCAAAAATATGTCCATAGTACGGGAGATGAAGTCTTGCCCCCTTTGCAGTGAAGGAGCATTCAGGTTGTATTTCTTCCAGATTGGATTCCTTCATTCTTATAGCTGTCTATGGTATATTTCCTTCACTTACAGTTTAGATACCAGCGTTTTTTCCCTGAGGCTTTCTTATTGCCCATCTCTTGCATGTATATGAGATGATTGAAAAATACCATGGCTTGGCTTGAGCACACCTTAATCTTCAAAGTAACAACTTGCTTTTTAACATTTTTTTAATTAATTTTAATGAAAGTTTACAGAGACTTAAGGTTTCCAGTCACTCATTGTTGCAGCTTATTTGTCCCAAATGATTCCTTGGCTATTTCTTCTATAGTAATTCAGTATAGATCCAAGTAACATGAAACCATTACAATTTCAGTTTTTTCTGTATTTGTTATCAGATTACATATAAGTCCATTTGTGAGTCTTTTTGTATCATCATTCTTTGGCGTGGGCACTAATGTTGATGGATCTTTTCCAGTTTGTTGGCCAGGTAACTTTTCTGGTATGGCCAATTTTCTTTGTATAGCCAAGTGAATATTTATAGTATCACATCCATGTATTGACACATTACAGTTGTTGTTCCTTCAGTTCCTGGAGCATATTTTTTCCACCATTGCCTTCAGTAGAATTTGGACTTCTTCCTTCAGTACCACTCGTTCTTGCTCAGAGGTTACTTCCTGAAATGGCTGGACATCAACCAATTATTTTTGGTGCAGTGACTCTATATTTGCTCCATTTTCGTATGATGCTCCCTGAAATAATTCAGTCAGTATTTTGCCTATTAAATATTATTATTTAAAGTTTTAAATGTTTCCTTAGTTCCTTTGGCTCAAGAAATACCTAGTGTACTTTTCTGTTTTGATTTTCTAACTCCAAATCTTTGTACATTTTATTATATTCTTTGTTGTGTCTTATGTAACAACCCTTTTGGAATCTTCTGTTCAACTCTTTCAATTCTTTTTTTTCCTTTAATTAATTTAAGCTACTTTATGTTCACAAGCAAATTATAGAGTGCCTTGTGACATCCAGTTTCATCTTTTTAAAATCTCCTCTCTTTTTTAATAAACGTGCTTTTTTGTGTGCATGATGTCCTTGGTGGCATGCTCAAAGTTATCTGCTATTTGGTCATTAGCGATCAATGTTTTAAATTTATTCTTGACATGATCTCTAAATTTGGATATTTTATGCACACAGTAGTACTTTGGCTCTTGTGGATTTATTTTTTCTTAAGCTTAAACTTTCCTATGTGCCGTGGTGGCTCTGGCGGCTTGGTGATAAACAGCTGCACTGCTCACCCAAAAGCACATAGTTCGAGTCTAGTAGCTACTCCCCCAGAGAAACATGGACAGTCTCCTCCCATGTGATTTACTATCTCTGAATACTCACTGGAGGGTAAGCTATGAGTCAGTCCCAACTCGAAGATACCCATAAACAACAACAACCTTTGAAGCATCTGATATTTGTGCATTTAATGATCTCTTCTGTAGTTGGCATCTGATCTTGCTCTGAATGACGATACTAAGTTTCTCCAGAATCTATTTGCACAGATACAGCAGATTTAATAATGATATATTCCATTCAGTGAAGTCCACAGCTATAGTTTTATGTTGCTTAAAAAATAATTTGCCATGATTAAGTCATTGGTTTTGCACAGTTATCTTAGGAGATTGGTAGCATCATTTCTATCACTAAAGCTGTGTTTTCCAGCTGCTGATAGTGCAGTCTGGAAGGACTGGTGCAGCTATAACGAATGTGGTACCCCTCTGGCAGTTTGACTCCACCAGTAGCTCCTTGGTAGAAAGATGGGCGGTGTCCTCTTGGGCAACTGAAAAGGCAGTGGAGGGTCAGCTCTGAGTTGGTTCTGGTTTGGTGGCAATGAGGGTTTGAGGGGTTTGGTTTTTTGTTTTGATCCTTCTTCATTTCTGACTTTCATATTCTAATCAGTAGTAATTATCAGTGTTGCCTTGATCACATATTTGGTCAATTTCAGACTGCTTAAGTTGGTAAAAATAAAAAAAAATCTTCAGTTTCTTTATCTTTGTCATTAGGAATTCTATGTAAATATGAATACTAGTTCTATTACTTAACCTTCAGTACTTGGCTATGGATAGTATCCTATCATAGAGTATAAAACTTCATAATAGATCTTGTAATATTCTTTTTGACAATAAATGGACTCTGTCAAATGTATTCAATCACCTAGTCATTTCTGGCACAATAGCCCATATAATTTCTCATTCAAACTGGCTAATACCATTTCAGCTCACTTAAACTTAGGGTATTAATCTGTATGAATTCCATTTTATGACAATGATGTCCATATTTCCTAGATTCATACTTCATAGATTCCACATTCCATTTATTAATGGGTTTTTACAGTTGTTTTTATCATTTTGAGTCTTCTCACATCAATCAATATATGAAGACTCTAAAAACTTTTTTTTAACCTTCTTAAAACGTCAACTTAATCTACTTTGAGGAAGTATGCTCCTTGAAATCTCATAACCCTGGTGACAATATTCTTGGACAAGTACAGATTTCGTATAAACACAATTAAGTTTTCTGGGATTCCAGTTCTTCACAGTGTTAGCAATAGTTTGTTATGAATCCACACACTCAAGTGCCTTTGCATAATCAATAAAACACAAATAGACGTTCTTCTGGTATTCTCTGCTTTCATCCAGGATCCATATGACATCAGCAGTGATCTTTTTGTTGCCACAGCATCTTACAAATCCAGCTTAAATGTCTGGCAGTTCCTGTATGCACTCTTCCAGCCATTTTTGGGTGCTCTTCTTCAGCAATATTTTGCTTCCATGTGATATAAATTATATTGTTCAATAATTTCCATGGTCTGTTGGACCACACGTCTTGAGAATTTAAACAAATAGAGATCCCATCCAGTCAGTTGACCAAGTGAGCTGTCCTCCAGCTTTCCTAGCATAGACTGATGAGCATGTCTAGGATTACATATGTTAGTTGAAGCGTGTCAATCTATCCATGAGGCCTTATTTATTGTCCTACCCAACATAAACTACTTCTTTTGCCACCATTGGTTTTTTTGTTCATATGCTACTTCCTGAAATGTTTCCGTGTCAGCCAATTCATTTGGTACCATGATCTTGTGTCCTCTTTCCCCTCAACTTTTGATGCTGCCTGACTCATTGAAGATTTTGCCCATAATGTACATCTTTTTAAAACTTTTTTATGAAGATTTTTCCCTATACTCAAATGTAGGCTATACAATATAATGAACCCACATGGATTCGTCAAAAACCCCAAAATATTGACCTATTGCTAACCCTATCCCATTTGCACTACCATTTTCTGCACCCATTTCCTTATCTATTAAAGTAAATTCCAGACATGACATCATT